GTTTAAGGCAAAGAAATGAAATAATAATGTTAATTAGTCTGATATATGTCTATGACTAGTATAGTGTGACACTATGGAAAATATGAATGAAAATTACAGCCTTCACCTTTGGCATATTACATTCTGACGACAAAATATTCCACGGCGACAAAGATTATTTAGCATTAGTATGCCAATACAGAGATAATGAAAACCGTAATGTTAAGATTAACGTCCCATTTTCCATTGCCTCTGAATAAAATGTTGCTATTTTCGTTGTTTAAATTTTGTTTTGATCTTTATATACTCACACCTTGTATTCTGGACCAATTTAAGCTTTTTCTGATTTGGCAATTCTTCCTGTGAAACATCTTTCAAGAGATTAGTCGCATTGAAAAATACAGGTTTCATATATATATATATATATATATATATATATATATATATATATATATATATATATATATATATATATATATATATATATATATATATATATATATATATATATATGTATATATATATATATATGTATATATATATATATATATATATATATATATATATATATATATATATATATATATATATATGAAACAAGAACTTTATGAACTTGATATTTTACCAAATTTAACTGTCTTAATCCTTTACTACCACCAAGATCTCCTCCATCTCTTGCTGTTGTTGCTTTGGTATCGGTAGCAGTAAGAAGTGAGAGTTGTTATAGTAATGCAGTGAGTTTAAGTCTCTAATAAGGAAGGTTTCTTTTCTTTGTCTGATCAAAGAAGAATGGTACATATCTTTTAATGTTTTAAGTCTTTAAATTGTGTTGTTACAGATAACTATTTTATGTTTTGTTTTACTACTCCTTATCTCCATTGACTTCTTTGGAGACAAAACTTTATCGGACCTCTCTTGCAACTGAGTCTGGAGATTACTTGTAGCAGCAGCAACAACAGCTGGGAGAAGAAGGCGTGAATTAGTGGAAGATGGAGATCGAAGTGTTTTGGAGATTATCTCAAAAGTATTTACTGCATAGCATACGATAAACTAAGATTTGGTTTGTATTTCAAAATGTGTGTTGGATAGTGTAGCAAAACGTGTGTATTGTAGAGTATAACAATAATGTCCTATATTGTATCTAAAACTTTAGCATTACATTTCTCATAGAGTCCCAAAAACAGACAATAAAATTATCAGTGTTAACAATACCGATTCCAAACCTTTAACAATATCCAGAGGTGTAACTAAAGGTATTGTTTTACGACCCATACTTTTTTATGTTATGCGAATGAAGTAGTAAGAGGCAAACATGCTGTTTGTAAGACTGCATTATATGCAGATAACAGGTCTGTCATGTTTCCATATCAAAGTCCATGAGAAAGAATTAAAAAGCTGTTATCTTTGGCTCATCCTGCTTGTGTCAAAACAAAAAGTAAAATCTATTAGGCAGCTCAAGATACACTGAAAAAATTATACATTCAACTTTGAAGCGTGTGTTACATATTTGGGTCTCTACATATATACCTTTCTTTCGGACGAATGCATAATCAATTATATAAAACAAAAGTAAATGATAGGTTAAAGTTTCTCTTCAGAAAAACTCAGTGTTTATCACTAAAAACTACAAAAATGTCAATCTTTGCACAAGAACTTCGACTACTCCTATTAAGGGGCCCCGAGTGGCCGAGTGGTTTAAAGCGCTGTCCGTTACGGATCACTGCTATCTCACATCTGTCTGCGTGGGTTTGAGTCTAGGAATCGGCGAATGTATATATGTGAGAAAGCTTGCCAGTAGCTTTTCGTGGGTCGGTGGTTTTTTTCCGGTGATTTCCCGGTTTCTTCCTCCACCATTAATACTGGCCGCCATGTATAGCCTATCGAGTGCTGAAAAATGGCTTTAAGCCCAACAACAACAACTACTCCTATTATTAATGGCATTCATAATTCTTTAACATCTCGACAAAGAAAACAATCTCCAGTCAAATGAAAACTAGAATTGTAATTATTATGAGCAACCTTTATCCCAGATGAACCATCAAGCACCATGAACCTAAAAGTGTAGGAATGCTAAAACAGGAGGATGGAGTGAACGGTTAAGCCTATCTTATATTCAAATCATTTTGAGAAAAATCTCTGTCTTATAGGAACAAGCGATTTATACTAATTAATAGTCATCATCATTTTGACGCTTGGACTAGTAAATTTAATATGTTACACTATGTATTAGTAGCTTAGCCTCGATGATTTTCTATTATAATGCCATACAGTACTAGAACCCATACCCAATTGTAACTTTTCAAGTATAGACAATTTTAAACACGCTAGTAATCCATACCTTTTAAACAAAGGAAGCCGATAAAATAGAGCTTGATGAAATTTTCTTTGAATGAATTGTTTTAGTGACACTTCTTAATTCTGAAATCAGATTTAAATTTTGTATTATATAATTATGATCCCATTAGTTAATTGTATCATTAATTTACAAACTATACCTCGCAAAATAAATCGTGATCAAGGACTTAGGACTAAATATGTTTAAAAATTAGTATGGGTCATCCTTAGGGAATCTTTCATTTTAGTATTAAAAGTAGGTAGGTAGGTATGTCTGAATTACAACAGTTTATTATTTTTGTGTAATGTACTTTGTCAATATTGTTTTAATTGTTATATGTAATAATGCATTACTAATTGCTACCTAAATGAATATATTATTTTATTCTTAACAAAGGACGCCGCGTCCTCTGTAATTAAATACGTTTTGTTTGGGAGTTGGGCTGGAATGGTAATGATTGAAATTTTGTTGTTGTCTTCTTTTTTCCGTCCGTGTGTTTTGAGACAGTTTTGATTTCTGCATGTAACGAGTGCGTGCTATTTGAATTGTCTTTCTCGCCTTTATAATGTAATGTTTATCGGATAGTTTTTCTAAGCTGTATCAAAAAAATGAATCTTGTACCAGAGACACACGCCCAACCATATTATTATGAATATGTAAGAAAATATCCGACAAAAAGAAGACAAAGAAACAAATTCCAAGTAAACCACTTTTATATGAGAAAGGGCGATAACCATAATATGCTACATTCAGTGAGTTGAGGTGTTTCATTTATAGTATATTTCTCATTCACTATAGCTTTAAATTTTACTTCACCTTTTACAAATGGGCATTCCTTTCACGGTTTTGTAAACCTTGATTTCATTAGTCATTTACATGGAATTGATCAAATAGCTTTTCTCCATACATCAAATGAACTTTAGTAGAGCAGGGAGTTCCCATCGCAGGCACAGGTAAACCGCTGTATATTGAATTCTAAAATTTTTGCTCATGAAAGTTGCAATCACTGGACTTTAATATTTTCGTGTTATTTTATTTATATCAAGGTAACTTGTTACCAAATAACATAGCATATGTCATTATTTTGCGTGTATTGTTGGTAAAAAAATAGTTCAGTTTTATAGTGTGTTGTAACGTCCCAGTTCAACCAAAAATTGTTGAATTACCACCATCTATTAAATAACCAAAAGATATGAGATTTATTGAAGCAGTGCATGTCGTTTACATAGACATGGTCAATATCAAATGCCAAGAGATTAATTGAGAAAAATATTTCAGTTTCATAGCGCCATGTAAGAACCCGGAAGTTTTAGTTTGACTTTACTTCCCTTTTTGCTTTTCCCGTAACCACCTCCCCAAACTGCTTGATTCAACATTGTAAATATCGGTATTAGACGACAATATTTTCCTTTTACATAAATACTTGTTATGGTAAATGCACCCCTTCAATGACAATGGACTTGTTCAGTTACTGGCAATGACTGGAGAACAGATCGTCTTTTACGCTGAAAACTTTCTTTTGGAATGAAACGCTCATACGATATGGGTTTTAGGGTCCCACCAAGGTGCACAATGCTAGCTTGATGTTGAAAAAAAAAACAAACCTCCAATAATCTGAAGGAAAAATATCATACAGAGTGACAAAAGTGACAGATTACCCTCATGAGCTATTTTGACATTGGACCACAGGAGTCTGCAGTTTTATCAATAAAGCACGACGAAATTTCTGACTACATGAAATCACATCAACGGTATTATAAAAAAATTATTTTATAATACCGTTAAGGTGATTTCATGTAGTCAGAAATTTCGTTGTGCTTTATTGATAAAACTGCAGACTCATGTGATTGGACCTTCGGTAATGGGGGGGGGTAATCTAAGTTATTTTGGTAGCTAGTATGATAGAGCGGGTCCAATGTCAGAACGGGTGATGGGGTTAATCTTACGTTTATACCAGGGTATATCAGGTTTAAAATTATAAATCAGTAAATGAACTGACAAAGTTTTGTTCATCTTTTATCAAATTTGTGCTTTTCGTCTTTAAATTGTTTTTGGGAGGAGGATACAGACAAACGGGGAAGTATATTAAGACTGTATAGAATCTTATTATTATTATTATTATTATTATTATTATTATTATTATTATTATTATTATTATTATTATTATTATTATTATTATTATTATTATTATCATCAAAGCATCTAGACCAACAAGTAGGTCTCTGCATTTTTTCTGACAGCAGGAGATAAAAGTGGAGACTTGCTTGTTGGTCTACTCGGCACTGTGTTGGTTAATGTCCTTTAACATCACATTTATTAAGATACATTCTATGTTCTTTGGAAAGAGGAAGAGAAAACACTAAAATTTTTAAAAATTTTGCCTTCAATCCATTACAAGGATACCTAGAAAGTTGTTAGAAATTTCAACTCATGACTCAAAAAAGTGTAGATAACTAAATTGCCTCCAGAAGATTTAATGCGAGAGAAATGTACAGGGAATATGTTTCTGTTTCGCTAACTATGCCACTATGCCTGGTTGTCATTGCTGACCCTTACACTTCTTCCCCAATATATATTCTTCCCCCAACCCCCGACTCCAACAATAGTTATAGTAATAAGGCAATCGCCTCTACAATTTGATCAACAGCAGAGAGCTAGTCGATGCAGAAGACACATGTCAAGAACCGCTCCGGTGGCCTAGTGGTTAGAGCGTCCACCTGGGATGCGGGAGGTCGTGGGTTAGATCTCCGGCCAAGTCTTACTAAAGACTTACAAAAATAGTACTAACAGCTGCCTCGTTTGTATCTCAGCATTAAAAGGTTAGTGCTAGGACTGGTCGGCCTGGTGTCAGGATAATTTGACTGGGTGGGACATTATGCTACATGTCTGCGGCATGATGTCCCAGTGCTAGACATCACTATAAACTGCCACACTGCAGACATCGTAGCGATATGACTGAGAAATTGTTAAAGGTACGTTAAAAATCTAATTCAATCACACACACAAACACACACACACACATACACACACGTCAAGCCACCAATTATAAGGCGGCTAACAAACAAACCTCACGAAGTTAAGACAGGAATATTACCACCTAGATAAAAACTGTATTATAAATAAAACATATCTCGAACACATTATTTCCCTTTTCCTCGTGACTTAGAATAGAATGTCTGATTTAGATATCGCTTGTCAACAAGCGTCATAAAATTCAATTTTAGTTTGATACGTCTTCTTGTGTTAATTAGAATTTCTTACTGAAAATGTATTACTAATTACGAAATTGGAACCGCTCCGGTGGCCTAGTGGTTACAGCGTCCGACTCCGGTGCAGGAGGTCGTGGGTTCAATCCCCGGTCGAGTCATACCAAAGACTTACAAAAATCGTACTAACAGCTGCCTCGTTTGACACTCAGCATTAAGAGGTTAGTGTTAGGACTGTTTGGCCTGGTGTCAGGATAATGTGACTGGGTGGAACATCATGCTACATGTCTGCGGCATGATGCCCCAGTGCTAGACATCACTATAAAGTGCCACACTGCAGACATCGTAGCGATATGACTGAAAAATTGTTAAAGCTACGTTAAAAATCATAAACACACAATTGGTCATCTAAGAATAACGATTTAACGCCTAATAGAAATAGTGTTAGCAAGCGCTTAAATCTTAATGCTTCATTTTGTCTTTAATGGATCGAAATATGTATATGCTTATATTGTAGGCGGTTTCTCTTGAGAATTTGATTAAGTAATGGCTGTAAAATATCGTTCAATGATCATATATTGTATTTAACTACCGCTCTCCCAGGACACCTATGCCTACTTCAGTTTACACAGGTATATTCAACAATTTATCCTATATAAGGCGTACATTTATTATAACCTCTATAACCTCTACAGAGTAAACCAAGTTTATGCATCAATGTGTGTGGGGTGGGGTGACTCGAAACTCAAGAGATGAATAATACTTCTATTGATGGAAATAGAGCTTTGCTGTTATAAATTTAAAGACAGTTTTAATGTCAGTGCTTTAAACGGCTCCGGAAAATGAGAACCCGACAGCGGCATGAATTCAATGAAAGATACGACATATATCAATATTTGTAATACATGCCAATATTTAGAACAGAAAGAAATATATTGCCGGCTTATATAAATTGTTCCTGTTCTATAAAAAAAATAAACTTTTCTGGTAAACTATACATTTGTCTAAGTTAATGTTGCATCTCATTGTGTAAAAAAAACAACTTGTTACCCACTTTAAAGAATGTATTTCTGAGTTGATTTGCTTAAACGTGGTTATAAAGATCTTTGATGCATACTCTTATAAGTGAGATTTATGCATATTAATGAAGTAATCTTAAATCTGATTTGCTGATATAATTGACACTCAGGCACGTTTAGATTTGATACGATTTCATCAGATTTTGTATAAAAAGAAAGAAGGCTTGTGTGACCGAGATATCAAATGATTTTAAGTGAGAACGAGATATAAGCCCATTAAGGCGTATCAGATTCTTGTTATTGGACAGACGGATTTCTGACCTAGTTTTGATATACCATGAAGATCTTGTGTTCATTTTATTTTGAGCGAAACCAATGGATAATAATAAGATGTTCTGGTATATGATGGACCGAATGTAATTTACCTATCTGGGGACTATTCTAAAATGTCAATAAAAATCAACTTATTCTCGAATGCGCTGTTAGCTTTTGAACATGTCCAAGAGGTGGAAATATGGTAAAATTTGAGGTTTTGCATTAAATACATTCCTGTATAGTAACAAAATTAACTGCTAACATTCCACTATTTCATTATATAATTTGTATTTATGTTGCACTTGATATATAAAGGATATGGAGTAACCATAGCAAATGACACAAATAAATTATCAGTAATTGTTAATTTTAGATAATGAACATCGCATCAACCCCAGTCTAACAGTAATGACTGATTTGGGAATCAAACCATTTGCTTTATAATTAAACACCCCGCATTGGTGAAATAAAGTTAAATTATGAGAGATTTCAACTTTATAATGAGGAAAACTTATTGAATGTTTCGTGTTGCTTCTTGACTGCGGGGATGGTATAATAAGTATAAATACGTTCCACTCAGGTGGCGCTCACCAGTTATTATGTTCTTTTGAGAGAGTGATGTATGTAAGGTGAAGTTGTTTGCATTTTAAACATGCATAGTGGAGAGAATGTTGGCATGCCTATATACTACTTTCATGTAATGTAGCTGAAATGTCTTTGGATATTGTATTTTTGGAAATTTTAAATGATCTTAGGACACTGCTAACTAAAATGACTGCTCTCTTGTGCTCCAAACATCAACCTGAATTTGTCTAAAGTACACTATTCTTGGTAGCTATTAAAATATGGAAAATGAATTTTGCCAAACTAGACAATACCAGCTTCTAAAAGTGCAATGAATGAATTACTTAATACATAAAATGTAAAAAAAAGTTATCGGCTCTATTTTTTACAATTTACCTCTGAAGTTCGAGAAGTGAAATTAAGAAAGTAGAGCTAGCACTTTTTTGAAAGATGCACATCTGGAGTAAGGCCAAGCTGTATCTCTCTAACCCATATTACACCCATCAATCATGCATCAAAATAAAGGGAATTAAAGGTACTTTGAACAATACCTAAGATATACAAAGTCTCTTTTAAATAGCCAGTATAAATAGTGAGGAAACCCGGGGAAACTCTTTTTCACTAAAATTTTAATGCTAAATATGAAACTGTAGAGCGCCAACTCAGCTGAGCTTTCATTTTCCATATTTTGTTCACCTCACGCGCAGAAGCCGCTGACGTCATAGTACGCGATAAATATAAAAATAAAGAGCGTATATTTAATGACAAAGGTTTATCTATACAATATATATAGATCAGCTTTAAAAAATATATAAATAAGTTTGGACATTTTTGAGGGCATTACAGAGATCTTAAGTATATAGTTATTTCCAAAACTTTGGGAATGTTGTGCAGATGACGATGCCGATCTATAACATCCGTTACCACAGTGATTTGTATAAACTGGAATAACACTATGGAATGAAGTCACTTTGCATTTACGCTCATGTACATGTATAGGAGTTGATTCAACCAAGATGTTCTCAGCTTTTTCGTTTTCTATCAAAGTTTTTAGACTGCACCAAATTCAAATGCTTGTTTAGGGAGCAGTTGATAATTTATGTATGACACAAATACCTGGCCTTTAAGAACATTAAAATATTACTTGTTGTGTGATACCGCCCATTGACCTCTGTTGATCGTAAACATGGTTTTAATAAACAAGTTAGAATCAAACCATGTACTACACAAACGTAGTGAAAAGAACTTGGATATAATGAAGCGAATATCGTAGGATGTGCCGAATACATTGAGTTTGTCTTTATCAAAGTGAGGGGGGAATGAAAAAAAGACGAAGCAAAATAGTGTATAAAATGTAAAGTTATGCTGTGATAGCCTGCTTTTATCTTCTAAAAAATTATATTTCAATGCATTAATGTTTGATGAAATTGAAGTGTAATGTTATTATAATGATGATTGCAATAAAAGTGCATCCTTTTCCACCTTGCCAGCAATGTATATATATATATATATATATATATATATATATATATATATATATCTATATCTATATATATATATATATATATATATATATATATATATATATATCTGCATCCAAATATTTCAAGTATAAATACAACATACATGAATGATACAATCCTATATGGACAATATATGTTTGCTGCATACACACATTTCCGAGACGTTTTTACTTGAAGACAAGCTGTGGTTAAAACTATTAGGTGCAAACATGCAAACAAATTAAATGGACACAGTTAAAATAACCTAAATCACACACATTTTATTTTTCTGTTAGCTTCTAATTCTTCTTGTTCAGATTTTGCTTCTCCCATACTTCTTAAAAACGGAGGAGTCACTTATATATAAACTGACCATATCTTGTCAACACAGCAAATAAAGAAACCTTAGTTTAGAAATATTTTATTACACTCTCGACATTAATATATGTCCACCGAGTTGGCAGGTATATGAATAATATAAAACAACTATGCAGTAAACCAATGGGTTGCAGATTCACTTAGTTTGCAAGCATGGTGCAGTGTGGCTTCCAGTCTTCAAATTACACATAAGTATTTGACAAATAAAATGTATACATGATCAGTAAAATGGAAATAATTTCAAAACTACGAAAGTTTGAAATAATATAGAAAGTAATTTTTTGTTGAAACTACTGTTTAAAAAGAAACAGACACCAGAACTGATAATGTATTCAGATTGAGAAAGCAGTAGATAACAAAAGATATGGGTTAGGCTATGTAATGTCCACTTCAGAAAAGACGAAGTTAACTTTTCTTTCTCCACACATCTGCTTGAAATTCCAGCCACTGGGATGTGTTTTTCACTTGAATCACCCTCAAGTTTAGACCATGCAGCAACTCATAAGTAGCTCAACAAAAACCAAAAATCATTTTGGAAAGATACCAGCTTTTATGCTTATAAAAACCCAAATATGAACATAAAAAATAAACATTTACTCCTGATTTGAAACTAATCATATCTTTTTATTCAAATTTGGATTAATACTTTTTCAACATAGCAAAGCACACAATTAACAATACAAGTCTCAGTCTTGACGATCAGAATATTAATAATACATTTTTGAATGGGTTATATGGCCAGTTACTGATTAAAAAAGAACAAGTAACTAGATACCTATTTCAGATTCAAACGTGTTCACATTCACTTGGCTATTTATACCTTTTTCCCGATTCAAGCAGTAATTAAAATCTATTTCTTTTCAATATAAATAAACCATTTAAGCGGACTTTAGTTTGTCTAAATATCTCACGAAGTGTACGGTACACATCAATAAGATATGAGCTTTATTTCTATCATAAGACTTAAACCTCTAGAGGAGTGTGATGTATATTTATAGGTCTGAACCAGATTGCTTCTGAGAAGATAATGATGAAGATAATACCCATAGAGATTAAGAATTCTAATACTCTGTATAATTTTTTTTAAAGTCTGCATTTGGTGTAATGAATTATCATGTACGTATTTTGAATTCTATTCCAACTTCCAACATGAACATGATTGTAAATGATTTTAGTTTGATTAATTGTTTTCTATGGAGTTTTAAGACAATACGAACTCACGTTTATGGTAGTTGCCAATCGTGGCATCTAGCCGAGATTCAAAATACTATTTATAATCTAGATACTCGTATCAAACTCACTGAAAGCGCGTTCGTAACAGTATCGTGCATTGTAGCATAAAAGGTTTACATAGATATTCAGGACGAAACTTGTTTCAGTAAA